TAAAGGTGTGGCCCTGCTTTTACTGATTTCCAAATTTATACAGAAAGCAAGCACACTTCTCCAAAATGAGTGTGGTGCCTGTGTTGACAGGCATTGCCCATATGGTGCAACGGGTAGAGGGCTTAGCCATCCTCAGGAAGGCTGAGTTCAAATATATGCTCAGACATTTACTAGCTATGTGACTCTAGGCATATAACTTTAACCACTGTCTGCCTCAGTTTCCTTCTGTAAAATGAAGGTTAAAAATAGCATCCATCTCCCAGAGTTGTGATGAGGATCAAATGAGATATTTATAAAGCACTTAGTACAGTTCCTCGAACTTAGTCGGTGCTTAATAAATGCTCTTCCTTTCCACCTTCCCTTAACTTTCCAGCTAGTCAGGCCTAGCTTTGTCATTTCTTAATTTGACCAGGTCAAGGGCCTAGAGATTGATTCTGAGCTCTACCAAGTCAGGTCCAAATTACTTATATTTATGGATGAATAAAATAAAATTAATAAAAAATAAACTGGATGGCTTTCAACCTGGGGATTGATTGACAATGGAAAAAAAATTGGATTTGGAGACAGAAGACCTAGGTTCAAACCTTGGCCCTGACAATAAATCCCTTTGTGTGGGCAAGTGGTTTAACCTCTCTGGGCCTTAATTTCCTTCTCGGTTAATTAGGGGGATTGGGCTAGATGGCCATGAAGTCTCTTCTAGCAGTAATTCTTTGGTTTCCCCTAGCAAAATAAGCTCCTTCAAAAATAGCCTTCTGTTATAAATAGAGGTACCATTTTGAAATCAACAACTTAAAAGAAGCAAGACAAGAAACAGTTTAATTTTAGCTATTGTATGACTAGATATTGTTTGCTAACAGGAAATATGCTGAGGAATAGAATATTCAGTTTTTTACAGTGTTCATCATTTTTCTACTTCTCCAGTTATTATTGCCACCAACAAATTCGGCTCATTTCTACTTTGGACAACTTGAGCTGTTAGGAAGTTTTTTCCATATATTTAAGCCTATTTCTGACTCAGTGACTTCTGTTGTATGCTCCTAGTTTTGCCCTCAGTGGCCAAGAAGAATAAATCTAATCCCTCTTTTGTACAACAGCCCTTAGGAGACTTGAAGACAGCTGTATCTCATCCCATCTTTTCTAGGTTGTTGTTCAGTCATTTTTCCTTCATGACCCCATTTGGGGTTTTCTTGGCAAAGACACTGGAGTGGTTTGCCGTTTCCTTCTCCAGCTCATTTTACAGGTGAGGAAACTGAGGCAAAGAGTGAAGTGACTTGTGTAGGTTCACACAGTTAGTAAGTGTCAGAGGCTGGATTTGAACTCAGGTCTTCCTGACTTCAGATCTGGCACTCTATCTACCCCACCACCTCTTCTCTAGGTTAAACAACCCCATTGTCTTCAACTGATACTCATGCAGTATGGTTTTCATTGTCCTTAATATTCTGGTTGCCCTTCTGTACCTACCCCATTTTATTAATATCTTTTCCTAAAATATGACTCAGAAATGGACCTACTGCAGGTTTGGTCCAGCCAGGGCAGAGTACAACAGAACTCTTGATCCTCTGCCCAGAAATCATCCTAAGAGCCAGATTATTTATTTGCCCTTCATCCAGGTCAGCTGTCAAAACTGGATGCAACTGAGATTAAGATAAATTAATTCACTCTAAGGTGTAAATGTGTAAATGACTGATGGAGTTATGTGAGTTTTACTAGGCAAATGATGACAGAGATATTATAGAAAAATATTGATATCAGCACTTTTTTTATAGTATCAAAGAACTAGAAATAGCATTTGGAAATGTGGCATATGAATGTAACAAACTTTTTTGTTGTTTAGTCATTTTTCAGTTGTGGCAGACTCTTTATGATCCCATTTGGGGTTTTCTTGGCAAAGATACTGCAGTGGTTTGCTATTTCCTTCTCCAGCTCATTTTACAGATGAGGAAACTGAGGCAAACAGGGTGAAGTGACTTGCCGAGATCACACAGCTTGTCAGATTTGAACTCATGAAAATGACTCTTCCTGACTGTACACCTGGCACTCTTTCCACTGTACCACCTAGCTGCCCTACACAGAATAATTAGGAGATTGGCAACTGAGGAAATTGAGAAAGGCCTGGGTGTGGGAGATGGTTCTTTGAGGTGGGGAATCTTAGAGGCTGAGGTGATAAGGAAACACATTCCAGGCATAGGGGAAGAAAGCCTGTGCAAAGGCCTGGAGATGGAATGTGGTATCTAAGGAACTCCCAAGTAGGCCACTTTGGCTGGGAGGTAAAGGGCCCTCCCCTCCCCCCATATGCCTGATGTGAGCTGGTTTTTATTGAGTCACTGTAGAATTTCCAGGGCTCCAACCTTCCCCTAGACTAGATAATGAGTACTTGCTGAATTGAATTTAAATGAATGGGAGAAACTCCTCTTTTCCCTTCTCCCTCCCCCCATCTTTTAGCACCTTGGTAATGTTTATGAGTTAAAAACAAAACAAAACAAAACAACCAGAACCCCAAAAAACAGCTACAACCAAAAAAACCCTCATCCACTAAATATTGAAAAGGCTGTTTTTTCCTAGGCAACCTTTTCATTCCCCCCTCTTTTTCTTTTCAAGCCTCTGGTTTTTTTTGTCCCTAATACTGATGGGCACTTCAGTGTAGGGAAGGCAGTCGAAGCAGAGAGACATAGCTGCATTCACCCTGGAGATCTGAATGGCTGAGGCTTCAAGGGCCTGTTTGTGAAAGAGGTTTCAGGAAATATTTTTAAAGTGCTTTCAATTGGCAGAGTTGGTTTTAAAATTTAGATCACATTTACCATCTTCCAGAAATCAAGGAGCTCTGCTTTTCCACTAATAAACCACATCCTTGCTGTGGTTTGAATACTTAATTTAGAATTTGAATTTGCGTGAACTGATTGATGCTGAGTGAAATAGGGCCAGCTGGGAGGATTACAATAATGTAAATGACAGGTCTGAAGCAAAGCAGAAATCTTTTATCTGTAAATTACTCCTACATTTTCTGATGTTTCCTTCCCCATCCTACAGTTGTCCCTTAAAACAAAGAATTTTAAAAAAAAAAAGGAAAGGAAAGGAAAAACAAATGATCCAGTCAAATTCACCAGCATATAAAAAAAGTCAGACCTTTTAGTTAAGTTGTTCTTATGCCTTATCTTCCTCTGCTCCTTAAGGAGGTGGGGGATTGTGTGTGTGTCTGTCTTTCTGTCTGTATTCTCTTTATATTTATTTTGAATATACAGGACAGTGTGTGTGTGTGTATTCTCTTTATATTTATCCTGAATATGTCCTGAATATACAGCTCTGTGTGTATATGTCTTCTCTTTATATTTGTTCTGAATATGTCCTGAATATACAGGGGTGTGTGTGTGTGTGTGTGTGTGTGTGTGTGTGTGTGTGTATTCTCTTTATATTTGTTCTGAATATGTCCTGAATATACAGGTCTGTGTGTGTGTGTATAATCTTTTTATATTAATTCTGAATATATCCTGAATATACAGGTGTGTATGTATGTATGTGTGTATGTATGTATGTATAATTTCCAGAATACTATCATATGTGACCACAGTGTAGTTTATATATCTTTCTTTGTTACAAGGGAAGGCTTCCTGGGTGGGCAAGTATGGGAGGAAAATCCAGAAATGACTGGCAAAAAGAAAAGATATCAATAATTTTTTTTTTCAGTAAAAAAAAGGTTAGGATTTTCTCCTCCCCAATAAGGTAAGATGGTGTAGTGCTCACAGAGCCAGCCATGGAGTCAGAAAATTTGGTTTCAAGTGCTGTATCTGGCAGACCCACTAAGAGGTTGAGTAAGTCGCTTGAACTTTGAGCACCCCATGCAAGTACATTGACGAGTCCAAGAACCAACCCGAATTGGTAGAGTTTCCTCAATGGGAGTTCCAATCAAATTACCAGTCCCTTCTATTCTTTGTAACCCAATAACCCCCAATACTGCTTACTAAATTACTTACTTGGTTTCACCCCAGAAGCAAATGTTCTTGTCAGGGAGACTTTTCCAGCTGGTTCAGTTAGACTGTATATCTGACCTTTTAAGTCTTAAAAAGTTAATAGTTTCTCCTTTACCAAATGGTAAAGCTGGGTTGGATCAGTCAAAAATCAGCCCTTACACACCCATTCTAATGAATAGTTTCTCATTGCTCACTGAGTTAAAATCTAGTCACCCTCCCTAGCCTGCCATTCAGGCCTTTTGTCATGAGCCAAGTTGGTACGTTCTCTATGCAGGGTTCCCCAAGTGAGCTTTCCAGCCTCTCTGCCTATTACTATTGCTTCCGCGTAGTGCTGCAATCTAGTCAGGTTTTTGACTTGGCATCAGAAAGACATGAGTGCAAATCCTACTGTAGACATTTGGGAGCTGGGTGACTTGGAACAGGTCTCTTATCTGTAAAATAAGTGCATTGTCCATGCAGTAGTCCCATGTAGTCCCATGATCTCTTCTGATTTTAAGTCTACAATCCTATGAATACCCTCCACTTAAGTCTAACTCATCCTTAAAGCCAAGGGAATAACCATGAAATTCCCCTTATATTCCCCCCAACCTGTACCCCTATCCTACTCTTTTCCCCTCTTCCCTGGACAAAAATAATCTCTTTTTGCTGAGATCTCTCAGTAGCAAGTTATTCTGCTCCTGTACACTTATGGACATTCCAGTGGATATTATGTTTATTTTGTGTGTATGTGTTTTATCTCCCCAACTAGATTGTAAGCTTTGCAATCCTTGAGAACAAGGCCCATCTTATTCATCTTGGTATCTGGAAGTTTCCTGCATAGTAGCACTAAAAATATCGTTTATTCAGTTATATTCTAGACTTAATTGTGCAGCTCTACCATTCCAAAAGACTTGGATTTTCCTTGCAATGTGTGCTCTTAAGGAACTTGTGAGTTAATTCTAGCTATGTAGAATTTGGGGCTAACTGGTCCCAAATTAATCTTGGTGATCCTTTTCTGAGTTTCTGCCTCCTTAACGTGTACCACTCTATTTTCAGGGTAAGGGAACTGGAAAGAAAAGCAAGGTTTACCTTATTGCCAAGGAGATCATGAGCTCCGAAAAAGTGTGAGTATCAAATCTAGGGAGAATTATTCTTTCTTTACCTTGCTCGCCCAGTTCTAACATCTACTGCATTTTTGTTTCTGTCTCAACAGGTTTGTGGACGTGTTGAAACTTTTGCATATCGTGAGTATCTGCAAATGTTATCTTAAATTCTTAAATGTCTTGATACTGTCCCAGTTTGCTCTGCCAAAATTCCGATTAACATGGTGAATTTAATAAACATCTACTTGTTAGATTATGTTTGGTATTCGAGAATTTTCGCCCAGGAGCATGGTAATGCCTACCTGTAAACCTTGCTACCTGGAGGCTGAGGCTAGAGGATTTCTTGAGCTCAGGATTTCTGTGCTTTAGTGAACTGAGCTGAGCCACCTGTGATTTCAGTTTGGTGACCTTCCTCCACTCCCCGTTACCCCAGGGCCACTAGGTTGTGTAAGGTAGGATACAGGGCAGATCAAAAACTCTTGTGCCTGTTAGTAGTTTCTTTGCATATGAGTAGCTTCAGCATTTCCAACCTGGGCAAATAATGGAGACCCAATCTTTTAAAAAAGAAAACAAAAGAAAGAAAGAAAGCTTTCTAGTAAATTAGGTCAGTGTGTGCCTAAACTCCCAAGCCTTGTGACTTTCTAAAAGGCAGAACAGAGGACACTGAAGTAGCAATCTCTTTCCTGCTGTTTGTATCTACAGTTTTGCCCTAACACAGTGGAAAGTCTGGCCATGGAATCAGAGTATCTTGTCTCAGATCTCCCCTCTGAAGCTTACCTCCTGTGTGACCTGGGCTAAGTCATTGAGCCTTAAGCTCCCTCATTTTTAAGATGGTGGTGGTGGGGAAGGTGTTGGACTATGTGACCTCTAAGGTCCCTTCCAGCTTTGGACCTTAGGCTCCTATGAAAAGGTGTTACTTCTGTTGTGTAAGGTCTAATATATATATATATATATATATATATATATATATATATATATATGTATATGTAAACTTTCAGGAATGGGTAGGGGGGTTTTCCCTCTCCCCATTGGCATTTTTTTGCAAGTAATATGTTTTTTTCTAAATGGTGGTGTTGAATTTTACTGTCTGCCAACTTGAAAGCAATTGCTGGGAAGCCTTGAGAACTTTTCCCATGGTTCTTGCAGCCTAAGATATAACCAAGGTCTGTCTGTAATCAAGTTTTTACAAGTATTAATTCCAGCTCAGCAGGTAGCTAGCTTTCACTGTTAATTTAGAAGGCAAATATAAAGGTTTTTATTGTCTAGGTGGGGGGCTCATAACCATAATTTATTCCAAATTTTTTGGCAGAATCAGAATTCTGACTAGAGAAAGTAGTGAAATGAGGGAAATAGGGGAAAGAGAAACTCAAAAATGTGTGGCATAGTTAATTAGTTGATCTGAAAATTTGGGAGTGTTGAAGCTTAACATGTCTAGAAAAAGTTAATACTTTTTTCACTCTGCCCATTTGATGTCCTGAATGTATATAGTTGGCTAGCAGGTGAAGGAGGGAGGCATGAGTTACACATATGTGTGTGATTCAGACAGGCTCTGTCCAACTGGGGAATGTCATTTTTTTTTTTTTTTTGCCTAAAAAAACCTCTAGCTGAAGAAACTTAGAAATTTGTGTGTGTGTGTGGATATGTATGTATGTGTGTGTATGTGTGTGTGTTTTAATCCCATTCAATTTATAAATCTTCTTTGATCCTTTTTTTTTTAAAATCCACTCAAGACTCCCTTAGTTTCAGCAAGGCACAGTGGGAAGAACACTAGTTCTGGATTCAAACGTCCCAGGTTCAAATCCTGACTCTGACCCTTACTACCTGTATCTTCTAAGTCAATTAACCTCAATTAGGGGGTCCGATTTGATGACTTCTGTGGTTCCTTCTATTCTCCTGTGACGTTGGCTGAAATCTCAGCTCTACATTTGCTACCTGTGTGGCCATGGACAAGTCAATTCATCTTTCTGGGCCTCAGTTTCCACATTTGTAAAATGAGGCTTTTGATCTAGATAGCCTCTAATGTCTCTTCCAACTCTAGCTATGGTCCTCTGAGTTCCATTCCCACCCCTACCACTGGCCACACATGTGGCCATGGATAGGCCCCTTCATCTTTGTGAGCCTCTTTTTCTTCAGCTGTAAAATAAGGAGATTGGATTTCACTCTCAGCCTAATTCTATTTCTGACTAACTCCTGGGGTACCTTTCATTCTAAATCGGTGATCCTATGCGTCTTACAAATGGCCCTTGGAGACATCCCATGAATTCTTTGTGTTTCAGTGTCTGCCTTTTTTTTTTTAATTTAATTTATTTATTTTTAGTTTTCAACATTCACTTCCACAAGATTTTGAGTTTATGTCTGCTCTTGACGATGTATTTTTTGGGTCACTGTCATGCCATGTTACATGGAATCCTGGTGTTCCATACCATTGGGGTCAAACTCAAGTAGACATGGGAGCTGCCAGCCC